CCTAATAGAATTTGAACCCAGGTTTCTTGAATGCCAAGACCCCTACCTCAAGGCTCAGAACCAAGACTCTCCCATGTTTTCGTGGTCCAGGTCTCAGAACTCATTATCCCCACAATGGAGACAGCTCGCCAGTCCTTCTTCTTGAAAACCTACCTGGACCATGAGATTCCAGTGTTGTTCGTGGGTCCCACAGGCACTGGCAAATCGGCCATCACCAACAACTTTCTTCTCCGCCTTCCCAAAAATATCTACCTGCCAAATTGCATCAATTTCTCTGCCAGAACCTCAGCCAATCAGACCCAGGATATGATCATGTCCAAGCTGGATCGACGACGAAAGGGCCTTTTTGGGCCTCCCATAGGGAAGAAATCAGTGGTGTTTGTGGGTAAGGCATTGACTCAAGTTTGGAGACAACCAGGTTCTTCCACCCCAAGAGGCAGCAAACCAGAGCTTCCCTTTGTAGGGCCACTGCACAGTCCTTTGACCCTCTCTGGGAAGTATAATTTTTCTGGTTAATATAATTTAGTCTTCTTTCCTTCCATTTCTTTCCTCCCCCCCTCCCTTCTTTCCTTTCTTCCTTGTAGGGAGGAATTGTTCCAGAAAGGAACTGCAGTGTGTGTTCTCTTGCATCTCCAAAAGCAGCACATACTTTGTGATAAGCCTCGTTCCATTTTGTGTTAGATAAATGTTGTCAATGAAGGAACCTTACAGTTTGTTAAATATTAGTGAAATAAGCACATTGAAGTTTTCCAGGACTTTACCTATTTATGAAGTATTTCCTCACTTTTTTCATTTGAGTCTTACCTTACCAACCTATAAGGTTATTAACCATCATTATCATTCTACTACTAGTTAGTTGAGGCTTCAGAAGGTAAAATTCCCTGTCCTAGATGAAACAGCTAGAAAACTCAAAGCCATGACCCAAACCCAGGTTTCTTGGTACCCAATACATGCTAATCCATACATCCTTATAGTTCCAAAGGCAGAAATCTCAATGAGACAGGAGATCCCAGAACCCAGGAAAACCCTTTCATATCTGGTTGGAATGTGCACTGACTAAGCCCTGTCTGGAACAGGGAATGAGACAAATGGGGATAGACTCTCCTACAAAGGAAACTGTAATCTATTACTTCCTTCAAAAGCAGAGGATCCCATGGACTTAACAATGTGTGGTGGTGACTCCTTGTTCCAGATGACCTTAACATGCCAGCCAAGGAGGTATATGGGGCCCAGCCCCCCATCGAGCTCCTAAGGCAATGGATTGACCATGGTTACTGGTTTGACAAGAAAGACACAAACAGGCTGGATATTGTGGATGTGCTACTTGTGACAGCCATGGGGCCCCCTGGAGGAGGAAGAAATGATATTACTGGTATGTGAAGGAGAGAGCACATTTTCTCCCATTCTCCCTACCCCCACGCCACCACCACCAGCAAATAGGGCCATCTTTGTGAGTGGAGGGTTGGTGCATTCTGTCCTGATCAAGCGTGGAACAAAAGTGGAGCAAAAGCTACTTCCCAATGATCGTGGATTGCCTTTTCTTTTAAACACAATCTTGAACACCAGACCAGCACTATTAGAACTTCTGCACTTATAGAGATGTCCTATATTTATACTGTGTGGTACAATAGCTACCAGCCAGATGTGGCTCTTGAGAACTTGAAATGTGGCTAGTGAGACTAAAAAAAAATAATCTTTAATATACTATTTAATACTAAGTTTAAATGGCTACATGTGATCACATACTCTAGAACTTAAAGACAAGGCAGAAAGAAAACCAGCTCTCTTATATCCCAGCAAATGTGAGTGTGTACACACACACACACGCGTGCGCACACACACACACACACGTCTGTTTTCCAGGACGGTTCACTCGCCATCTGAATATCATTTCCATCGACGCCTTTGAGGATGACATTTTAACAAAAATTTTTAGTTCAATTGTTGACTGGCACTTTGGGAAAGGATTTGATGTGATATTCTTAAGGTAAGGGTTTCCTATGCCTTCCCAGATGTTGACCCGGGGGTTCTCAGTTGTGGACCCTTCTTGACTGGTCTGTTTTCTCCTTCCTCCTGAGGTATGGAAAGATGCTGGTACAAGCTACGAAGACAATTTATAGAGCTGCAGTGGAGAACTTCTTGCCAACTCCTTCCAAGTCACATTATGTCTTTAATTTGCGGGACTTCTCCCGGGTGATCCAAGGAGTATTACTCTGCCCTCACACCCACCTGCAGGTCAGCCATTATTACTCATCATTACCAAGATTGCTCAACAATATCCCTGACTACACAGAATGCACAGAGTGCTGTAAATAATAGCTAACCTTTTATTTTATAACTTTTATGAGCATTTATGCTAAGTATTTTATAAAAAACATTATCTTATTTTTTTATTTTTTAGTTTTTACTATAGGGTGTATGCACTCACCAGAGAAAGACAGACAAAAAGAAAGAGGGAGAGTGAGAAATCACCCACAAAGGGGTATACCAATACCACAGTCCCTTCTCCTCCACCTCCTCTTGAGATTTTGGGCACTCACACATATGCCAAGTGTGATGTTTGAGCTGCTGGCTTTGGGACCTAAGTCATGCAATAAGCCCTATGGGATCCAACACCTTAACCTCCATACCACCTGCTGGCCCCAGCATTATCTCATTTAATCCAAGATCTAGATGCTACTTGAGAATTACCACCTTAGGCACCATCTTCCTTTCAATCAAACAATTAACTCTGGATTTTTAGGATGTAGAAAAACTTATCCGGCTTTGGATCCATGAAGTTTATCGGGTCTTCTATGACCGTCTGATTGACAAGGAAGACAGACAGGTCTTCTTCAATATGGTGAAAGAAACCACCTCTAATTGCTTCAAGCAGACTGTAGAGAAGGTAAGCCAGACTGTAACCTTTGACCTCAATAACCTTTCCAAAGGTTTGACCACATTAGTCTTGGATTTCAGGTCCCCTTCAATAGAGACTCATAGCTCTGTTTTCTGAATCTCAGAAAACAGTATCGAGTCGACTAGTCATTTAATTTGGTGACATTTTACTTGGCTCAACTTTGCTTCACTTTCATAGTAACATTTAACTTTGGACTCATTCAAAGCATTTTAATATATGATGTTACTTATTCATAATTAGCTTACAATGACTCTTTAGGGTCAATTAATTTGTGAGTTGAGAACCTTAAATTTTCATGGTTTCACTAAGGTCATGGTAAAAACAAACAAACAAACAAAACAGGTGGAAGATTGTCATGGTCTTCCATTTCTGAATATTTTCTCTTTTCCATTTTACTGTAAGAAAAGTTGTTTAAAATTTCTATGTTCAGATCATCTGGTTCCACCTTCATAGCCATGAAGCTGTGACTTCTCCATAGGAAAATAGCAAAAGTGTTTCATGTTGTATTAAGTGCACAGGCATAGCCAGCTTCTAATATCACGAGGAATCATCTAAAACATTCCTAGTTCAAGCACAGAGTGGAGACTGAGGGTAGTGTGTGTGCCTCTATTCAGTGAAGGAACAAGCACATAGAAAATGATGCCATCCTTCAACTGCCTTCTCTGTGACCTTACAACCTGACCACCAATGCTTTAACTATTTAGTAAATAGATAATCCAGACTTTCACACTATTTCTCTAATATCCATATTGTCCTTCATCATAGTCTTTATGACCATCAGATCCTCAAATAATGTCTTTTCAAAAAAATAGATTGAGGGACCAGCAGTTAGCGTAATGGCTATGTCGCTGGACTCCCATGTAGTCGACTGTGGTTTGCGTCCTGGACCCGGTGGCTTAAAACTCACGGCGGGCACGTGTGCGTGCGTGCCCAAGATCCCGAGAGGAGAATGGAAGAGAAGGGATTGCGGTGTGGCCATTCCCCCTGGGGGGTGATTTCTCACTTTCTGTCTCTCTGTCTCTCTCTGTCTGTCTGGTGAGTGCACGCACCCTATAGTGAAAACCTCTCCAAAAATAAAATAAAATAAAATAAATAGATTGATAAGCCATGACTTTGAAGGATGTGCTCAGAGAAAACAAACACATCTTCCATTCCCTCCATATTTCCCAATGCTAGGGAAGGCCACTGACTGAATGCCTGACTGAGACTTTATCTTTCTCACAGGTCCTCATCCACTTGTCACCCACTGGAAAGATTGTTGATGATAACATACGTAGTCTCTTCTTTGGAGATTTCTTCAAGCCAGAAAGTGACCCCAAAATTTATGATGAGATCATTGACCTGAAACAGCTCACTGTGGTCATGGAGTACTATCTGGAAGAGTTCAACAACATCAGCAAGGCCCCCATGTCCTTGGTCATGTTCAAGTTTGCCATTGAGCACATCTCCAGGATCTGCAGGGTCCTGAAGCAAAATAAAGGCCACTTGCTCCTGGTGGGCATTGGGGGCAGTGGCCGGCAGAGTGCCACCAAATTGTCCACATTCATGAACTCATATGAGCTATACCAGATCGAGATCACTAAGAACTACACAGGCAATGACTGGCGGGAGGACCTAAAAAAGATCATGCTGCAGGTCGGTATGGCCACCAAGAGTACCGTATTCCTCTTTGCCGACAACCAGATCAAGGATGAGTCATTTGTTGAGGACATCAACATGCTTCTGAACACAGGTGATGTGCCCAACATCTTCCCAGCTGATGAGAAGGCTGACATTGTGGAGAAGATGCAAGTGGCAGCAAGGGCAGGAGGAGAGAAGATCGAAGTCACTCCTCTTTCTATGTATAACTTCTTTATTGAGAGGGTGAAAAAGAACCTTCACGTTGTCCTTGGTAAGAATAAGCTAATTCCATTTTCCCTTTTTCCTCAGTGTTGCAGTGTCTTCTGAGTGTATGTAGCCCAATGCCTTTATAGTGTTCCCAGAGCTAACTGAAGGCACCAGACAGGGGTTAGGACCTGGAGTTCCTCTGGCAGCTTTTCCCACTCTCCTGAGCAACTATTGGAAAATTGTTTCACTGTCCCCTAGTCTCTTAATTGTTTTGTGGGAAAGATTACATTTAAGCATATTACCCCAATGCAGAACAATGTCTGGGGTTCTTTGTGAATGACATCCCCTATTCTATCCCGAAACCTAGAAGTTGTCTTTCATATTTCTTTCCAAAAGTCCAGTTGATTTTTACCTCTTATCTCTTATATCCACCTTCTCCATCTCTATCACCTTCACATTGACTAAACCACCCTCATTTCACCCAGATCTCACCTCTACAGAAGTAACCTAACTTTTCTATATCTATTCTCATCTGTTCTAGACCTTTCTGTTTCACTGAGCCAGGATGATTTTATTTCACGTGTTGCAAATATCATTGCGTAAACACATACACACACAAACTTAAATTGCTTTCCATTAGGACAAAGACCCAAATTTCTGGAACCAGCAGATGGTGGAATAGTTATGTCACTGGCTTCCCATATAGTCGACCTGAGTTCAAGTTTGGACCCAGTGGCTTAAATCTCATGCCAGGCACATGTGTATGGGTGCCCAAGATCCTAAGAGGAGGATGGAGGAGAAGGGATTGCATTGTGGCCATCCCCTGGGGGTGTGATTTCTCACTTTCTGTCTCTCTGGTGAGCACACATGCCCTCTAGCAAAACTATCTCTCTAAATAATAATAATAATAACAGACCCAAATTCCTAGCCTGTGGTCCTATAGGTCACCTGCAAGACTGTGTCCCTTGTATCCTCTCCACCTTCATATCAAATCAAACTGCACTTCTCTCTGCTCTTCAGCCATACTGACATACTCCTCACAATTTCACTTGTACATCATGCTTCCTTCTACCTCATTGAGTCTAAATAAATGATGAATGGAATTTGGAGTATAGAACCCAACATTTATGATTGGATGGAAATGGAGTCAGAAATAAGCCAATGCCCTTCAGCAACTTCTATAAATTAGTATGCATGGGGCATCTATTGCTTCCGGCGTTTGTGAGTCAACATAAACAGAGAGACTGGGTCAAAGATTCAGGCCACTCTGGCCAAGTAACTTAGGGATCCAGAAAGAGCAACAGTGACTATGGAAGACTAATTCAATGGCTATTCTAATAAACTGAAACCCTATCACAAAGGGTTACATGAAAATACCCCATGATTCCTCTGAGTTTCCAAGTACTCATCATGGCTATGCACAATAACATCCCTGGAGGTACCAATAGGAAACACAGTGATAGCCCTTATCCCTCCACAATCCTTGGAAACACCTAATAGCCTCTTTGGGTCTCCCTGCCTTGGATAAAGAGAAATAACAGAGTCTATTTTTCATTAGCCATGAGCCCAATTGGGGACGCCTTTCGTAACCGCCTACGGATGTTCCCTTCGCTGATCAATTGCTGTACAATTGATTGGTTCCAGTCATGGCCCACAGATGCCCTGGAGCTGGTTGCCAACAAGTTTCTAGAAGATGTGGAGCTTGATGACAACATTCGGACAGAGTAAGTGTTAGCTGCATTTTACCACCCCAGATCCCATTCCAAACTGAAAATCCAGATGCTGACTCTATTCTTGTTGCTATTTTAAAAATTTATCAACTTGCATATACAAAATGTCTTATCCTTTTAAATAGAATCACATTTTGTTAGATATTTAATAAAGCATGTTTGCTGAAAAAAAATAAAATTGCATTGTTTAGAATTGTCTTGGGGATTCAATGTTGTCATAGCAGTGAGGACCTGGAATAATAATACACCAATTGTCTTAGAACACACATTCTCAACAGGAACTGCTGAGCGGATGAAGAAAACTGTTTTTTGTTTTTTTTTTTTTTTTTGGAGAGATTTTCACTGTAGGGCGCGTGCGCTCGCCAGACAGACAGAGAGAGACATAGAGACAGAAAGCGAGAAATCACCCCCCAGGGGGGATGGTCACGCCGCAATCCCTTCTCCTCCATTCTCCTCTCGGGATCTTGGGCAAGCACGCACAAGCGCCCGGCATGAGTTTTAAGCCACCAGGTCCGGGACACGAACCGCAGTCGACTACGTGGGAGTCCAGCGACATAGCCATTACGCTAACTGCTGGTTCCCTGAAAACTGTTTTTTGTGAGAGTGGAAAACCTTACACTTTTATGTATGAAACACAGATAAATGAGAGAGAGAGAGAGAGAGAGGGAGAAGAAAGAGAGAGAGAACTTAATTTGGGCTAGAATAAGGGAAGAAATGAGAGTGTCAACCACCCTAGATGTTCCTCAGTCATCTGCCTTATTACTTGGTGTCCTTAGTGCCTAGCAGGTGCCTGGTACAAAGTAGGTTCAATTACTATTTATTAAATACATGAGTGAAAATAAAGAAGTAGGCAAGGGTCAGAGTGTTCATGGCCTTAAATTTTATTTTGAGAATTTTGAATTTTATTTACTAGACCAGAAAACCCCTACCTGGGTCCAAAGATTCATGAATAAAATTCAGTGGGTCCATGAATATAAATAAGGGAAGATTACATCTTTATTTCCACTGACATCCAACTGGTTTGCATTTCCCTCAATGACGAATGCAGGCAGCAAACCCCAGCAGGATTGGCAGGGCCTGTGACTTTGTTACCAACAAGAATTAGTTCTTTTCATAACTCAGTCAGTCATTATAAATACTTAGGTTTATCATGTTCTTCAAATGGTGATTTTTAGACCTGCTGTGTAATCTTGTTATTTAATGCAGAGACTGGAACACTTTTCCATGACCAAGTCCAATTCCTAGACTGTATTTGTAAATAAAGTTTTATTGAAACAGTCATGCCCATTGATTTACACATTGTCTCAGGCTCTTCTGCACTGCAGTGGCAGAGTTGAGTAGTTACAACAGACACCATGGGTCCAGAAAGGCTAAAATATTTGCTATCTTTTCCTTCTCCCCCCAACTGTTTACTGATTTAATGTATCAAAAATTAAGCACATCTATCACTACATCACAAATTTTGTTTTCAAAATCTTTTGAAAAGTCTATTTCAATTTAACTGGTTTCCTTAGTAATCCTATGTACTTTATTTTATGTATTTAAAAACATTATTCTGCAAGGTTGGAAGGCTTCTCTATGACTATCCAAAGTTAGGAACTCCTGCTTAAATCTTAGTGGTTCATCAAAGAGATCTTTGACCTGATCAAAAGTCATTATAAATAGTAAGAATTTATACTTCCTTCTATCCTTCTCTCCTTCAGGTCTATCGACCTGTCTTCAGAGAATTTTGGATTCTTGTGGTCCATAATCAACGTGTCTTTTTATACCCTCTGACTATGCCAGATCTCTCTGGAGAAGTGGGGGCTTGCCTACTAACCACATTTATGTCCTTACTAGGGTCGTCTCCATGTGCAAATATTTTCAAGAGAGTGTAAAGAATCTGTCACTTGATTATTACAGTACACTTCGCAGACATAATTATGTTACCCCCACCTCTTATCTTGAATTGATTCTAACCTTCAAGACCCTACTGAATATCAAGAGGCAAGAGGTGGATATGATGAGGAACCGCTACCTGACAGGCTTGCACAAACTCGATTTTGCAGCTTCACAGGTGAGCACTGCCACAGAGAGCAAGGACAAAGAGGCCTCGGATGAGGCAGACATGGGGAGGCACTTGTTCAGGTGCAGAATTCAGGGAAGTGTGAAATAAAGACAGGGTCCGAGCCTGCATTTGCAGCATTCCCCTCATTTGGCCTATTCTAATCCCAGCCCTATGGGATCCTTACCTTACATAAGATTTTTGATATTTTTGTTCATGGTGGTATTTTTTTTCCAATTAATTTTATTTCATAAAATATTCCAATCAAGTACCACCAGCCTTAAGTACTGAGGGTTTTGGTGCCCCCTTAAATTGTACCTGCCCAAGGCAGGTACCCTACTTGTCCTACCCTGTGGGGAACTGGGCCTGGTAATGCAACGTTAAGAGCATTAGGTCTTAGATTCCTCTCCTATAAAAAGGTGATAATTATAGCTGTTATGGTGGCTGGCAAGTGATGTGGTGGTTAAGGGCTCTGGATTCCCACATGGCTGACCTTGATTCGAGTCCCAGATCTGGCGCCTTGCTTTCTTACCTTCCCCCTCTCCCCAGCCCTTTGCTCTCTTCCTCTCTGGTCAGATTTAAATGAATGAATAAATAAATAAAGTTAAATTAAAAATTCTTTAAAAATTAAAAAAAATAATAGCTGTTGTAAAGACTAAATGATCTGACACAAGTACAGCCCTCTAACAAAGTGCCTGGCTTATGAGTTATTAATCGATTTGCACTTGGAATCCCTTGACAAACTAAAATAAGAGCCATACATATTAAGAGATGGACTGTCAGGGCCCAGCAGTTAGCATAATAGCTATGTTGCTGAACTCCCATGTAGCCGACCGCGGTTTGAGTCCTGGACTCGGTGGCTTAAACTCAGGCCGGGCGCATGTGTGTGCGTGCCCAAGATCCCAAGAGGAGAATGGAGAAGAAGAGATTGCGACATAGCCATCCCCCCAGGGGGGTGATTTCTTGCTTTCTATCTCTCTGTCTCTCTCTGTCTTTCTGGCAAGTGCACACGCCCTATAGCAAAAACCTCTCCAAAAAAGAAAAGAAAAGAAAAGAAAAAGAGATGGACTTTCAGCACCAACAAGGAACTAAGGTAACTGACTGATCACAGTATTTGGCCTATTGCATTACAGCAAACCACAACACAGGAATGGGAGAGAATGTCAGAAGTGGCCTCGGTTGCTCTGCTCTTGGGGGAGTTGGGTCCAACTCAGGATATTTGGATTTTAGAGAAATGTTGAAATTGGAGTCCATCCAGACAAGAGTGAGCAAAGTGTTTGAGGAGCAATAAAAGGACCTAGACCAGAAGGAAGAATAACAGTGCTGGTTAGCATTCCTTGAGCTCTACTGCATGTTTAGCTTTGTGTATGAGGAAAGTACTGTTGTCATCTCCATGTTACAACAAAGAAACTTAGATGCAGAGAGACTCACAACTTGTCCATGGTCATACCACCTGGCAAGGAGTTGGGTCAAAACTGAAACTCAGATCTCCAAGACTCTAGAACATGTGTTCCTCAACTAGCCAGCATGCTGTGCTTCTCTCATACAGGCTTGCTGGGGACAGTGGGTATAAGTTCATGAAACCCTCTGTAAATACTTAACATCCAGTCCTCTGTGTCTGAGCTACCCTAGAAAACGACATCTTCATTATGAACATCTAATGAGTTTAGTTGTCTCAATGGCGCAGCTCCGCTGAGAGCTCCCCATCATTACAAGTATTTAAACAGAGACCAGAAGACCAATGGAAAGGAATGTTTTAGAGGGCATTTCTCTAAATGCTAAAATGAGAACCATAAGCTGGATGGCCAAACAACATTTGTATCTGATTGTTCTGGAGGCTAGAAAGTCTAAAATCAAGACACCAATAGATCTGGTGACTGATGAGGGCTCTCTTCCTGGTCTGCCAACAGATGCCTTCTTGCTATGTTTTCACTTTGCGGAAAGAGATAGATCTCATGCTTCTTCCTCTTTTCTTAAGGACATTTATCCCACCATGAAGGTTTTACTCTCCTGACCTTATTCAATCATAATGACCTCTCCCTCCAAATACCATTAAATTGGGAATTAGTTATCGACGTGTGAATTGGGGGAGGTGGCCACACACATTGAGCCAAATGCACTACCAGAAAATGACTTTGAATGTTTCTTCCTTCTCAGGTAATTTGGCTGTGTATGTTTCCTTCACAGCCTTAAAATATGTAGGTTTAATTTTTTTTTAACTTACTTTTGGTCGATCTCCCTGCCCCAACACTAGAATATATGGTCAATGAGGGAATAAACTGTGTCTTTTAAAATGTTTTTGTTCACCATTATATATTAGTGCCCGGCACATTGCTTATCCACCACCGTGTGTAGTATGAACTCATTAAGTGTTGAAAGATCAAAGAGATAAGGCCCAGCCCACAAATATCTGCCTAGTACCATGTCAGAATTGTTAGTATGTATTTTTTGCCAATGTTATGGGTTGGGGAATCATTTCAACTCTTGTCAGCTTTGCCCATTTTGTCCTGGACCCAGCTGACCTGGATATCTCCTATCATGCTCTGCTTGCAGGTGGCAGTCATGCAAGTAGAACTGACAGCCCTCCAACCTCAACTCATCCATACATCAGAGGAGACTGCCAAGATGATGGTGAAAATTGAAGAGGAGACCAAAGAGGCCGATGCCAAGAAACTACTGGTGCAGGCAGATGAGAAAGAGGCCAACGCTGCTGCTGCCATTGCCCAGGGAATCAAGGTATGACAAGCCCAGAGGACAGGAAGGGAGTAGCTCTGCGGAGAGTATACAGTCATGCACATCTTGCAGGCAATGTGAGACTCAGAAAGGGGAGGTGGGGCCAGCAGGGGGCATGGTGATTAATGCACTCGACTCGCACATGGCCAACCATGGTTCGAGTCCTGGACTTGGTAGCTTGCTTTCTCATTTTCCCTCTCTGTTGAGCACACATGCCCTATAACAAATTAAATAATAATAATAATAACATATAAATTTGTAAATAATTTTTAAAAAAAGAAAAGGTAGCTAACTTTCCCAGCATCATGTAGATAGTAAGTGATGAAGCAAGTCCCTTTGACACTGGGCTCTCTCTAAAGCACTACCATTTTACAAATATTCTCTGTCTCACCCAGAGCCAAACTACAAACCCAGCTGATATGAGCTCATATCTGACTACTTCTTCCTCATTCACTTGCTCTGGCCACACTGGCCTCCTAGCTATTCCTTAAATAAACCCAAGGCACACTCCCAAACCAGGCCCTTTGCACTGTTTCCTTTGCCCTTTCTTTAGTATAGCCACATGGCTGTCTCCTTCACTTCCACCATATTTTTGCTCAGTTGTGTCTGGTGTGTTGTAAGTGTAGAGCAAATATTTGTCAAATGACAGAACATTGAACCCAAAGGACCCAGTTTGAAGGTGATTTTTTTTAAGAGATTTTTGCTGTAGGGTGCATGTGTTCATCACACAGAGAGAGAGAGAGACAGAAAGTGAGAAACCAATCCCCTCCCCAAGGGGGATGTCCACAATCCCTTCTTCTTCATTCTCCTCTCAAGATCTTGGGCACGCATGCACACGTGCCTGGCATGAGTTTTAAGCTGCTAGGTCCGGGACTTGAACCTCAGTTGACTATGTGGAGTACAATGATGTCACCATTATGCCACCTGCTGGTCCTGCAGGTGATTCTTTATCAAAGAAGAAATAGTTGGGGAAGGACTTGATCTATATTCAGATATTAAAGGAAAAACTGGTTAACATTAATGTGTTGTTATATAGTTCCAAAAGCACTTTGTAGCACATAATTCCATTTGAGTATCAAAACTACCTTGAGACATAGGAATAACAGTTTTTAAAATCTGAAGTTCAGTGGTGAAATCACTTTGCAGAGCTGCACAGCTGATTAGAGGGATTAGAATTTTGGGTTCAGCCCAGCAGGTGGCAAGGTGGTTAAGGCACTGGACTCCCACATGGCTGACCATGGTTTAAGTCCTGGACCTGGTGGCTTGCTTTCTCACTTTCCCTTTCCCTCTCTCTCTGGTCAGATTAAAAACTAAGAGTAATAAATAAAATTAAATAAATAAAATAATTATACACATGCACAGAGAGAGAGGTTTTTGCCTTAGAGTGTGTGTGCTCACCAGAGAGAGAAAGAAACAGACACAGTAAGAGGGAAGGTGAGAAATCACCCCTTAGTAGAGATGGCCATGCTGCAATCCCTTCTCCATTGTCCTCCTGGGATCTTGGGCATGCATGCACATGTGCCCAGCATGATTTCCAAGTCACTGGGATTGAGACTTGAACTGTGGTCAGCTATGTGAGAGTCCAGCAACATAAGCACTACACCATCTCTTGGTCCCTAAAATAATTAAAAAAAAAAAATTCTAGATTCATGGCACCTAATATTTAAGATTCTTGTCCCTATGCTGCCACTTAGCTGTTAGAAAAGTCTTTTCAATTGTTCTTTAAGCAATAGTTTTAGCAAGAAATAATTTATGTCTGGCTTCTATCGTAAGTAGGGTGTGGGACATTTTCTTGAGGAGAGCAGGCTTTCCAGACTGGCTTTTCTCTAAGGACTTCTCAGGTGTGGCCTCTGGTAGATTCTCTTGGGGTCTGATTCCTTATCTCAGGGACACACAATAAATACCCTTGATTACAGAGGCTTGTTCACTTACAATCTTGGTGGCATGGGTAGGAGGGAAATGGAAACCATCGAAGATCGTGACCACCAAGCACGAACCACCATAATCTAGCAGGTGATTTTCCATTTGATGAGAAAGTGAAAATAGCCACAACTCATCAATACCATGGTGTTTCTCTGGTATTCCTTCATTTAACAAATATTTATTGAACACCTACTAGGTGCTGGCACTCTTCTAGGCAGTGAGGAAGTAGGAGTCAGCAAGGCCAACATGGAGGTTGTATTCTCTGGTTGACGTACATTACCTTTTATTATCTTGTTTTTTTTGTTTTTTATTTTTTATTTTTTGGAGTGGTTTTTGCTATAGGGTGCATGGGCTCGCCAGAAAGACAGAGAGAGACAGAGAGACAGGAAGTGAGAAATCACCCCACAGGGGGGATGGCCACGCTGCAATCCCTTCTCCTCCATTCTCCTCTCAGGATCTTGGGTGCACACACAAACACACACTCACGCACGCGCGCCTGGCGTGAGTTTAAGCCACCAGGTCCGGGACACGAACCGTGGTCAACTACATGGGAGTCCAGCGACATAGCCATTACGCTAAGGAGAGGTTTAATCTTTTATTATTTTAACAGTCCTGCAAGATAAATGGTATTATTCCCAGCTTACAGAGGAGGAAATTATGGTGTGAGAACTGAAATGATCTGTCCAAGGTCGCATAGCTGCCAAGTGACTGCATTGGCATTCAGACCTAGAGCTTTTTGACTGCCCAGCTCTGGCATTTGACCAGTATCCCTGAAGTTGCAGGCAGGCACAGGTACCCTGCGATACACACAGTGTGTTTTGTTTTTGTTTTAATCAGAAATAGCTATTAACTTTTAAAAATAAGATTTCAAGTGAAAATTCTATGTTTTTTTGTTTTTTGTTCTTTTTTTTTTTGGAGAGGTTTATTGCTATAGGGTGCGTGTGCTCACCAGACAGACAGAGAGAGACATAGAGACAGAAAGCGAGAAATCACCCCCCAGGGGGGATGGTCACGCCACAATCCTTTCTCCTCCATTCTCCTCTCGGGATCTTGGGCACGCACGCACACGCGCCCGGCATGAGTTTTAAGCCACCAGGTCCGGGACGCGAACCGCGGTCGACTACGTGGGAGTCCAGCAACATAGCCATTACGCTAACTGCCCGTTCCCCATATTCTAAGTTTTTCAACTTAAAATCAATCAGGCATCCTGGCAACATTGGACCTGTGTTCCTGCCACACCCATCCCCAGCACTGAGTAGCCTGCTGTGTGTTCCAGTTCAAAACTCCATCCAACCCACTTCCCACACTTGTATCATTGACCTGAGCCCTGAAAGCCCATCATTTCGCAACTCCTCCATGGTCTTGTATGAGAATCAGACACTTCAGGGCACAATTTATTCAGTTTCCTCATCTATAATGGGGGTACTGAGAGAAAAAACATGTTGAGTTTGTAGCGCATGTCAAAACTTAATGGTCATATAAATAATAATAAAAAATGCTAAAAAAAGGCTTATAGGATAACAGTGTTGTCACTAATTACATAATTTTTATATATAGTTATTATCACAGATAATTTTTATGAATTCTGAATACTTGAGCTTAGTTTAAGAATCATAGAATATTGTGAAAAAGATGCATTTTCTGTTTATTAAAAATGTTATCATAAAAACAACTTAATGTTTCATGTTAGCTATTCTCCAAAATTGAATTCCATTGTCCTATACCAATTGGGCTTGCCTGTGTGATAAAGGCCAGCTTCCCACCACCTCTGGGTACCATAGGGAAGGGATCATCATACCCAGGATTCTTGCCCATAATGTCAGTGAAAAACCACGACTCAGAGTAGCAGGAGGGAGGCATGACACAGGTTCGTAAGGAGATGACCCAGGAATTCCCACCACACTCAACAGATTGCCATCTCAGGTTTCGGTGAAGAGGGAGGGTGAGGTTTAATGCTCTGCCGTCCTATCCCTAATCCTGGGAGTGACAACCTGGAAGTGAATCCGGAGGTGGGAGAAACAATCCAGGGAGGATGAGAACTCTGTGATTGCTCTGCAGTTTTCCTGAGGCGTTCATGTGGACCAGAATCAGGTCCTGAACCACTCAGGGCTGCTAATTTTCTCTAATCTCCTTGCATCCCTAGAAATGACACAACACGAGGGAGCGCCCAGTGTGCTGCCTAATACTGAGCATAGTTCCTGCTCAGCCTAGCCCAAGGAATCCCTTTTGGGAAGATGGGGAGACTGGAAGAGTCAGGTTTCAAACAAGTGATTCATAGGAACAATGGTTTGCTTAAATTGGCAGATTCTTTCTGAGCTAATGAATCATCTCTTTCCCCTTTAATGAGGATAATATATAATGCCAGAGTTAGTGTAGATTCGAGAGTGCACTCTGCTTCGAATCTCAAACAGCCTTGTTGCTCGTTGAATTGCTAAGACACAAGGACCACTTTTAATTATAATGTCTTTATCACAGAAACAAATATTGTAACAGCACATACAAAGAATCTTTAAGAACTCAATTTCGGGCTGGCTCCATGGCCTGGCTCTGTGGTCTGGTGATTAAGGCAGCTAGATCTTACAGTGGCCAACCATGCAGTTAAAGTTTCAAACCTGGCAGCTTGAGAAACATGCCAGGCACGTGGGCCCACGTGCCCAAAACCTCAAAGGAAAGGAAAGAAGGAGGAGAAAGGATTATGGTGGGATCATCCCCCATGAGGGTACTTTGTCTTCTCTCTCTCTATCTCCCTCTCTCTCTGGCAAGCATGCACACTTTAGCAAGAACAAAAACAAAAATTTAAAAACTTGATTTTAACACCTTTTTGATTTTCTATTTCAATTAGTTTTTTTCTAGTCCCTATCTATATACATGGATAGTTTTACATTATTGAAATCATAGCATAATTGTGATTTCTATCACTTTTTTCCTACTTAACATCCTATCACAAACATTTTTTAAATGTAATATGATTATCTTTTTCTTTAAATTATTATTTATTTATTATTTTTTTTATTTTTATTTTAGAGAGATCTTGGTTATAGGTTACATGTGTTCTTTGGACAGAGAGACAGACAGAAAGCAAGAAATACCCCCCAAGGGGGATGGCCTTGCCGCAATTTCATCTCCTCTCAGGATCTTGGACACGCATGCACGTGCACCCATTGTGAGTTTTAAGTAGCCGGGTCTGGCACTCAAACCGCGGTCAACTACATGGGCGACCAGCCAAGTAACCATTACACCATCTGCTGATCCACGTTTGATCATCTTAATGACCATTTTGAGTGGGTGCATTGCTAAGCAAGATGCTATTTCACCATTGGTCTATTGGGCACTGAAGCATATTCCCTCTTACCCAGTGCTTTCAGTTTCAGTGATGTGAACTGGAGTTTCTCAATGGAGTTGTGCATCAGAATCATTATTGGAGTTTTAAAAATGCAGAAGCCCAGACCTCACCTAGACTGAGTGAATCAGAATTTCTGAGTGTGAAGTTTGACCTGGAGGATGTTCTAGGTGCTGCTCAAGGACTCTAATGCACAACCAAGGTTGAGAACCAGTGTTGAAAATTGGGACATTATTTGTAACAAGGAGAGGCTTTTTTTGAAAATGAGCTTGTTTTCATGACTGAGCTGGAACCCAGACCTTATACCTTAGGAAAAGGAGCAGAGGTGCCAAGCCTAGAGAGGCAAGATGCATGTGTAGGACAGTTGTCAGGCATGTTGGAAGAGTAACATCAGACTATTGTTGAAGCCTTGGGTGCCTGGGAACATTGAAAGCCACCAGCTATCCAAAGCTGTGACTGAGCTAATACCTTTGCCTTTTTGGCCACCGAACCCTTTCTGAAGCTAACCATGAGAAATAGCAAGGACCAGCTTCAGTTCTTCCTCTGATCTTGCACCTGGCACACGAGCTAGGGATGAAGAATGAACAAACCAAGTTGCCACAGGACTGTGCTATTATTGCCATGGGATATTCCATTTTGATATTGGGGACATCTGATATGGTTCATTTGGGATGAGGGGGTATTTTCATAATGAAGCCAGATAAAACATTGCTGTAAGTTTATAAGGAAAGCAGAAAACCTACAATAAGAATCAATTATACACACACACATAGTATACATATACATGTGTGTGCACACAAATGTATGTAAGAAAACAGAGCAAAGACTTCAACACATGCTCTCTTAAGTTGTCTAAGAATTAATGTTCTCTTGTGAAGTTTCTCTTCAATTATGGCTGTGTGACCACTCCTTGGTCTTAGAGGACTAGCAGAAAAGTCACAGACTGGTAGCTGATAGCCTGACTCTGTAACTAGCCTGCTGTGTGACTTTGGCTAACTCATTTTACCTCTTAGAAATTGTGTGTGTGTGTGTGTGTGTGTGACTGTGTGTGTGCGTGTGTATGTTGGGGAGAAACTTAGTTACTGACAAATATATGAGGTCCCTTCCAGTTCTAAAATCCTATAGTGTTAAGCTTTTTTTTTTTTTTTTTAAAGTATATATTGAGCTGGCTCCATAGCTCAGAGATGAAGGGAGCCTGACCCCATGTGGCCGTCTGCACCATTTGAATCCTGGGCCTGGCAACCTGAAAACCACGTGGGGCACGTGTGTGTATATGCCCCACATCCCCATTGGATGGAGAAATGGAGAGGAGAGATTGTGGCTCAGCCAAGCCCTACTGGGGGAGGGGAGTGGTGTCTTCTCCCGGACTCTGTATTTCTTTGGAGAATGCACATGCCCTCTGGTAATAAAAGTAAATAAATAAATAAAATTTATAACTTGAGGTATAATGCACATACCTTTAATATTTGCCCTTTTAAATTGTATTCAATGGTTGTTAGTATATCCACAAAGTTGTACAACCATCACCACTATCTAATTCTAGAACCTTTTCATCACTCCCAAAAGAAACCTATACCCTTGGGACCAGCAGATGGAGTAATGGCTATGTTGCTGGACTCGTGTGTAGTCGACTGCAGTTTGAGTCCTGGACCTGGTGGCTTAAACTCACATCGGGTGCATGTGCATGTGTGCCCAAGATCCGGAGAGGAGAATGGAGGAGAAGGGATTATGGCATAGCCATCCCCCCAGGGGGGTGATTTCTCACTTTCTGTCTGTCTTTCTGGTAAGCACACGTGTCCTATAGCAAAAACTCTCAAAAAACAAACAAACAAACAAACAAAAACCAAAAACCTATACCCATTAGAAGTCACACCCCCACCTGCCTCCCCAGCCACTGTGGTAACCACTGAATCTACTTTTTGCATCTATGAATTTGCCCATTCTGCACATTTCATATAAATGGGATCATATAACAGAAGGCCTTTTGTGTCTGACTTCTTTCGCCAAGCATGTTTTCAAGGTATCATAGCAGGTAAGAGAACATCATTCCTTTTTATAGTGAATAATATTCCATTGTTTTAATTTTGTGTTTAGATAAACAAACAATGGAAAAAGTACATACCATCTCATTTTCCCTGGGCTCAGCTCTGTCTCTGACTCCTTACCTCGCTCTAAACTCTAACTCCATTCTTCATTTCTCCTGCCTTAAACTTTATCCAATATCTATGCTTTACCCCATATTAAAAACTCCACCCTGCCCCATCTCTGAGAATATGAAATAAATTCCAGACCTCACTCCATTGCTGACCTTCCCCCACCCCTCACGCCTAGCTTTGTCCCTACACTTGCCCTCACCTTCTTCCCATCTGTCACTCAACTCCCAAGCTTCCTCCTTTATTCCATCTCTCAATGATCAATGGGTGTGGCTCGTTCAACTCATGTATCTCTTGGGAATTTGTTAAAAACTAAAAGCTTAATTTTTTAATTACCTTTTTAATTTATTAATTAATTTATATACATTCAATCACATTGTTTAGCTTACAAAGTGAACATTTCAATATGTGAACATTTCTCCCCAGTCCAGTTGATCAAAATATCTTCAACAGGTAACATCACACCTCCCCATCCCATCAATGCTCTGCCTCTGTATCCCTCCTTCAAATGTCTTTCCCTCCACACACACCACATCTGGCATTCACACTCATCTCTTGTGTTTGTATATCTTTTAGTCAATCAGTTTCAGTTATAGAGTGCAGTCAGTATATATTAAGTGGGGACATACAATGTCTCTCCTTCATAGCCTGGCATGCTTCACTCAGCAGTAAATCTTCCATATTCTTCCACTTTCTGTCAGAAACCAGGGTTTTGTTGGTTTTATGGCTAAACAGTATTCCATAGAGTATTTGTGCCACAGTTTTTCAACCATTCATCCGTATGGGGGCATTTGGGTTGGTTCCATGTCTTATCAATTGTGAATAGTGCTGCAATAAACATCAATGTGCAAGCACTTTTCCAGTGAAAAATTCTTCTATCCTTTGGGTAGATACCGAGGAGTGGGATTACTGGGTCATATGGTAGTTCTATTTGTAGATTTTTGAGGAATCTCCAAATTGTTCTACACAATAGCTGGATCAATTTACATTCCCAGCAGCTGTGTAAAAGAGTTCCCTTTTCACCACACCCCTGCCAACACTTACTATTTTTTTGTTTTTTAATCTTAGACATTTTGACTGGGGTTAGGTGGTACCTCATTGTTGTTTTAATCTGCATTTCCCTTAGGATGAGGTATGCTGAGCATTTTTTCTTATGTCTTTTAGCTATTCATATGTCATCTTTAGAGAGTGTTTTTTTCAACTCCTTCTCCCATCTTTTAATAGGGTTGATCATTTTTTTCCAAACAGCTTCTTTAGTTCCTTGTGTTTTCTGGTTATCAGTCTCTTATCTGATGCATTAAAAGCTTAATTTTTTAAGATCACAAATGAGGTGAATGCTCAAATGTCTAGGACATATAAATCATGATCCTCAAAAGGGCCTGTGGCCCACGCCTGCAGGTGGCGTGAAGGTTAAGGTGGCTGGATCCCACATGGCAAATGACCACGGTTCGAGTCCTGGAATGTGTTTGGGAACCAGCAGTTAGCGTAATGGCTATGTCGCTGGACTCCCACGTAGTCGACCGCGGTTCGCGTCCCGGACCCGGTGGCTTAAAACTCACGCCAGGCGCGTGTGCGTGCGTGCCCATGATCCCGAGAGGAGACTGGAGGAGAAGGGACTGCGGCATGACCATCCCCCCTGGGGGGTGATTTCTCGCTTTCTGTCTCTATGTCTCTCTCTGTCTGTTTGGCGAGCACACGCGCCCTATAGGGAAAATCTCTCTCAAAAAAAAAAAAAAAAAAAGGGCCTGTGGCCCTACTAGCAGTCAATGGTCAGAGCCTGCCAAGTGCAAGCTTTAAGAGGAGGCAAGTGCCTCTTCTGGCTTCCTGTGTTTCCTCTAGCCTTGTCTGGTGTGTGTGTGTGTGTGTTTTCTGGACTCCAGGAACTCATCCCTTCTGTCTCTGTGCTGCCCGCAGAATGAATGTGAAGGGGATCTGGCTGAGGCCATGCCGGCACTGGAGGCTGCACTTGCAGCCCTCGACACTCTGAACCCGACTGACATCTCATTGGTGAAGTCGATGCAGAACCCACCAGGCCCTGTCAAGCTGGTCATGGAGAGCATTTGTGTCATGAAAGGGCTGAAGCCAGAGAGGAAGCCAGACCCCAGTGGCTCCGGTAAGCCCCATCAGCATCCCACCCCACCTAGCCACTTGCACAGTTACTCTTTCCAGAAGGATAATAAACTGAGAAAGAGCAGGAGGGAGAAAGATAGAGACAGGGAGATGAAAGAAAGAGAGAGGTAGGGGAGGAGAGACACCCAGGTGAGGTGCAGGTAGACAGAAGAGAGAAAGATGTCGGTAGGGGGAGAGAAACAGAGCCAAGAGACAGAAATACTGCAAGTGAGAGAGAAATGGAGACAAGTGACACACAGACCTACATGTGGAGTCACAATGACACAAAGGCAGAAAGAGTGAGAGGGAAGAAGAGACCAGAGAGTAGAGAGAGATGAAGACACAAATGAAAGAGAGAGAGAAAGGTGGGGGCGGAGCAGATGCTAGAAAAAGAGAGTGAGAGAGAGGGAGGCAGGGTAAGACAGGGAGGCAGGGATTAAACAAAGGGGCAAGGGAGGAGGATACAGAGATTTAACAATGAGGAGGGAGAAATGAGGGAAGGAGGAAAAGAAAGCTCCTCATACAATTAAATTTAGAAGCATTAATAGGAAGAGTGTTGCAAATTCCTCCTTCTAGAAAGCCCCCTATCCTTCCTTTGGGACCTCTGGCACTTCCTCCTCATTGCGTAGCATCTACTCTTCTCTGGCAAATCTCAGGAAGAACTACATGAAAAAGATGCAAAGGTGATCAGGCATGGCCAAGCAGGGAGTGGACTTTACAAGAGCATCCTTTAGGGAAGCAACTGAGTTAGCCTGAGCCAGGATGAGTAGCCAGCATTTCTGCTCCTGGGCTATATACTTGAATCACCTGAGGGCTTAAAAAATTGTAAAGTTTATGCCCCATCCATGGAAAGTCTTACTCCAGGTCTGGGATGCAGGCTGAATACAAGTATTTTTGTTAAGCTCTGCTAGTGGTTCTAAGGTGCAGCCAGGGTGGAGACCTACTAAGATCATAAAAGCATGGCCAGGTCCTGAACGTCAGTTCTCATTTTGTATCATCAATGATCAACACAGGACCTTTCATTAAATTTAAATGAAAGCAAATTATGTATGTTATTCACCCAGCCTATAAAATGATCAAGTATATTGGGATAGAGAAAAAAAGCAATTGAATTAGCTATGGATGCCTTGAATTTAAATTAAGCAGATCATTTTCCAGAATGCAAACAAAAACTTTCATGAGAAATACTTGGCTGGTTGCAGTATTTGCTGTAGGGAATGGGACAGACTTGACCTATTGGACTCAATAGAATATATCCGGGCATAACTTTTTTAACAAACCTAACTTGGCCAGTACCAAGAGCCTAAAAAGCTACTGAGTTTTTTCCAATCCATCTGCAATACAAAAGGAATACTGTTCTAGGATGTGATTAGTTGATTAATTGTCAATCAGTATGATGAGTGATAAGGAGAATGGGGGCCTGGCTTCATTTCTGAGAAGACCATAGGTGGTCTCCTGTCTGGTGATGGGCTTGTAAGCTGTTTCTCTCACCTTCGTTCTTTCTCACAAGACCACTGCCTCACTATTTATCACAAAGAATACCAATTGGGTTCTGTCCAGCCTACCTCGTAGACTTGGAAAAAAAACATTCAAAAAACATATTATGGCCCCTGTTCTCTCTGTCTATGACTGGGATAATTCAATCCCCATTCATTGATAGCTGAGTATCAGGCACTGTGCCAGATTCTAATAAACACAACAGGAGCTTACAGCTTGGAGAGAGAGGTGGATAGTAGAAAGTAAACAGATAAGATGAAAGAAAATACTGTGCAGTATCTTCTGAGGGAGGACAGAGCCCTCCTTCACCCAATAAGAGAAGTTTTAGGAAACCTTTCTTTGGAGGTGACTTTTAGAGGGTGACCTAAAATCTGACTAGTAGCGAGTGAGATGCCTTTTCACAGCATAGGTGAATGGCTCATGGTAGGGAAGATCTTGAAATCATGGAGAAATTGATGGAAGGTAGTTTGTGACCCAAGTCCAGGTAGCAAGGCAGAGATGAGGTCGGTGGCTGTGGGTGGGTCTCTCATACTATGGCAAGGAGCTTAGATTTTTTTCCCCCACAAATATGAGGAGAGGCCATTGCAGAATTCTAAGTATCAACCAGAATATCTTAATACAGCCTGTTATCTTTGTTTATTGTATTGAACAGGCAAGATGATAGAAGATTACTGGGGAGTGTCAAGAAAGATTCTTGGAGATCTAAAATTCTTGGAGAGTCTTAAGACATATGACAAAGACAATATCCCCCCAATGATTATGAAGCGGATTCGGGAAAAGTTTATCGATCACCCAGAATTCCAGCCAGCTGTCATTAAAAATGTGTCATCTGCCTGTGAGGGTCTGTGCAAGTGGGTGAGGGCCATGGAGGTATACGATCGCGTGGCCAAGGTGGTGGCTCCCAAACGAGAGAGACTGAAGGAAGCTGAGGGAAAGCTAAACATACAGATGCAGAAGCTGAACCAGAAACGAGCAGAGCTGAAACTGGTAGAAGACCGTCTCCAGGCCCTGAATGATGACTTTGAAGAGATGAACACCAAGAAAAAGACCTTGGAGGAAAACATTGACATCTGTTCCCAAAAGCTGATCAGGGCAGAGAAGCTGATCAGTGGTCTTGGGGGAGAGAAGGACAGATGGACAGAAGCTGCCCGACAACTGGAGGTCCGCTATACTAACCTGACAGGGGATGTGTTGGTGTCCTCCGGGACTGTGGCTTACCTGGGTGCCTTTACGGTAGATTATCGGGCCCAGTGCCAATCTCAGTGGCTAGCCCAATGTAAAGAAAAGGTCATCCCTGGCTCCAGTGACTTCAGTCTTAGCAACACATTAGGAGATCCTGTGAAAATCCGTGCCTGGCAAATTGCTGGGCTTCCTGTTGACTCTTTTTCCATTGACAATGGCATCATTGTATCCAATTCCAGACGCTGGGCCTTAATGATTGACCCTCAGGGGCAGGCCAATAAGTGGATTAAGAACATGGAGAAAGCAAATAAACTGTCTATCATCAAGTTCTCTGATACCAACTATGTGAGGATTCTGGAAAATGCTATACAGTTTGGTACCCCTGTGTTACTCGAAAACATTGGAGAAGAGCTGGATGCCTTCATTGAACCCATCTTACTCAAGGCTACATTCAAGCAGCAAGGAGTTGAGTATATGAGGCTAGGTGAAAACATCATTGAGTACTCCAGGGAGTTTAAGTTATACATCACAACTCGATTGAGGAACCCACATTACCTCCCTGAAGTTGCCGTGAAAGTCTGTCTCCTCAACTTTATGATCACCCCCTTGGGTCTCCAAGATCAACTCCTTGGCATTGTGGCTGCCAAAGAAAAACCAGAACTAGAAGAGAAAAAGAATGAGTTGATTGTGGAAAGTGCCAAGAACAAGAAGCAACTAAAGGAGATTGAAGATAAGATCTTGGAGGTTCTCTCTCAGTCTGAGGGTAACATCCTTGAGGATGAAACTGCCATCAAAATTTTGTCCTCCTCTAAAATTCTCTCTGAAGAAATCTCTGAGAAACAGGAAATAGCTTCGGTGACAGAAACACAGATTGATGAAACTCGGATGGGCTACAAGCCAGTGGCTATCCACTCTGCCACCATCTTCTTTTGTATCTCTGACCTAGCTAACATAGAACCAATGTACCAGTATTCCCTCACATGGTTCATAAACCTGTACATGCATTCCCTGGCCCATAGCATGAAGAGTGAAGAGCTGGATCTGCGCATTGGGTACATCATTGAGCATTTTACCCTGAGCATCTACAACAATGTCTGCCGCTCTCTGTTTGAGAAGGACAAGCTGCTCTTCTCCCTCCTCCTGACCATCGGCATCATAAAAGAGAAAAAGCAACTTGATGAGGCAATGTGGTACTTTCTTCTAACTGGAGGCGTTGCTCTGGATAACCCCTTTCCCAACCCAGCTCCTGAATGGCTGTCTGAGAAGGCGTGGTCAGAAGTTGTTCGAGCATCGACATTACCGCAACTGAAAGGCCTGAAGGAACATTTAGAACAAAATTCTAGTGAATGGAAGCTCATCTATGACTCAGCCTGGCCCCATGAGGAGAAATTCCCAGGATCTTGGAGGCTCCTTCAAGGATTGGAGAGGATGGTGATTCTTCGATGTTTGCGGCCTGATAAGATAATCCCAGCTATTCGGGAGTTCATTGCTGAACTCATGGGAAAGGTATACATCGAAGCTCCGACCTTTGATCTGCAGGGATCCTACAATGATTCTAATTGTTGTGCACCTTTGATTTTCGTATTGTCTCCAGGGGCAGACCCAATGGCAGGTAAGGACAAAATATTGTATTTGGAACAAGAAAAATTGGGAATGAATGGATGAATAGCAATAGCATATCTTTTACAGTACAGATCCCAAATTCAGATGTCTTTGAAGGCAGTTAATGCTAAGGTGTTGGGACAACCGAAGGGGTGGGAGTCGTTGCTACTCAGTACCCATGAATTGTGTCATCAGGGATATGAGCTCAGAATTGCCAGTTCATCTGGTGATTTTTAAAGAGAAATCAGAAATGCAGCAATCACCTATTTTTCAGCCTTGATAATTCACTCAAATTATTTTCCTTAGAAACCTTGTGGGGTCAGCCCTGTAGCACAGTGGTGAAGGGCTATGCATAGGCAGCTGGATCCCACATGGCCGACCACAGTTAGAATCCTGGCCTAGTGGCTTGAAGAACATGTTGTGCTTGTGTGTCTATTAGTCCTGACAGGATGGAGAGGTGGAGAAAGAAGGACTGTGGTGGGACCATGCCCCAATAGGGAGTGCTTATGCTCTTTCTTTTTCCTCAGCTCTAAGTCTCTGTGAGGGCCAAGCCCAGGGTTAGGTTTTCTGCCTGCTGGCTTCCAGCTTATTACTTTTGTCTTAAAGCATCTTCTGTGCTTATTGCTTCTTTTAAATTCTTGGTTTTTTGTTTTGTTTTGTCTTGTTTTGAATAATTGGTAGTTCATGGAGTTGGGAAAAAAAAAAAAATCTAACAAGCCAAAAAAGGAATAGGATCAGGACCAGTGTGGTGGTTAAGGCAGCTAGATTCCAGATGGCTAATTTGCTGTTCAAGTCATGGGCCCAGTGACATCAAAATCACCCATGTGTGTACATGTGCACCCAAAATCCTGAGAGGAGAATGGAGGAGATGAGATGTGGCATGGCCATGCCTTCCTAGGGGATGATTTCTCATTTTTCTTGCCTTTCTGGAGAGTGCATGTGCTCTAAAGCAAATTTAAAAAAAAAAAAAAAAAGGATCATTGCTCAACCAAAGGCAATTTTGCTCCCTTAGAGGGCCCTTGGCAACACGTGGAGTCCTTTTTGTGTCACAGCTAGGGGATACCTCAGGTATCTGGAAGACAGCCCAAGAATGCAGTTCAATATCCCAGTGCACAAAACAGCTCCACAATGAAAGAGCTGTCCTAGAATGGCAATCACTTCAAGGTTGATAACTTCTGGTACATGGAGTGTAATAAGGTACATCTTCCTCCTCACTCTCCCAGAGGTAACCACTCTTACTCATTTTGTGATCCTTTCCAGAAATAGTTTGTGCATATAGAAAAGTATGAGTTGTTGACAGCAGTAGATTAGTTTTCTGTTGTTAGGGGTGGTGGGGGGAGAATCTCAACACTTTAGTTTTCTGTTGCTGAATTAAGGAGTACTAGAAAGGTAGATGGTGAAATTGGCATTCTCCTGGGAGAGCTGCAGTTTGGCATGTATCCTCACCCAGACAGAAAGCCAGCACCTCTGCCCAAGAAGGAGGGCAGAGCAGGGAGCTGAAACAAACAGTACCATTTTCAAGTTTCTATAAGTACTGTAATGATATTGTCAAGGAGCAATCCATGATCCCTTTCTAGCATCTTCATTTTTTTTTTTAAACCTGTGTCCTTTATGTGGCAGATTTTTAAAAGAGAAACTAGCAGGGAATCAAGAAAGGTAAAGCAAAGAAAAGGGAAGAAAGGTCAGAATAGAAGTGATCGTGATGATAAGCGAGTATGATAAAGTGATGATGCTGTGCTGGTAGAAAAGGGGACGGTTACAGCCAATGGTGCATTTAGCCTGTTGCTATCCCTCTACGCCCGAAACTTGATCAGATTCAACTTGAATGATTATTCAGAAAAACTCATAGGTCCCTCTGATGACCCAAATCAGGGAGGCACATACTGGCTGGTTGTCCTTTCTTTTCCAATTAAGACTGACCAGTGAGGTCAGCATTATCAAGTCAGTCAGCCCCCCACTCCTATACCTCCACCCTTATAAAATTTACCATCAGCTTTTTGCCTCATGTAAAATGTTCTCAATCTTGTCTGCCCATTGGAATGAGTATATGAGGTGAGGCGAAGGTATTAAGATCATCGAATACTCCAGGGATTTTAAGTTACACATCACAACCCGATTGAGAAATCCACATTACCTCCCTGAAGTCACTGTGAAAGTCTGTCGTCTCAATTTTATGATCACCCCCTTGGGTCTCCAAGATCAACTCCTTGGCATCATGGCTGCCAAGGAGAAACTAGATCCAGACAAGAAAAAGAACAAATTGATTGTGGAAAGTGCTAAAAACAAGAAGCAATAAAAGGGGGATCAGCAGATGGCATAATGGTTACATCACTGGACTCCCATGTAGTCGACCATAGGTCAAGTCCCAAACCTGACAGTTTGAAACTCATGCTGGGTACATGTGTGTGCATGGCCAAAATCCTGAGAGGATAATAGAGGAGAAGGGATCGCAGCATGGCCATCCCCCTGGGGGGTGATTTCTGGCTTTCTGTCTCTCTCTTTTTCTCCCCCCATAAGCACATGTGCCCTATAGCAAAAACCTCTCGAAAGGAAAAAAAAATAGAAGCAACTAAAGGAGATTGAAGATGAGATCTTGGAGGTTTTCTCTGTCTGAAGAGTAACATCCTTGAGGATGAATCTGCCTGGAGTGATTTAAGAAAAATCTCGATCCACAGGACATAGCCTAGGCCAATTAATTAAAATCTTTGGGGTAAGACCTGGGAATTGCACTTTAGAAAGCTTTTCAGGAGCACCAGCAGGTAGTGTAGTGGATAAGGCTTTGAACTCCCACTTAACCAACTGCAGTTCAAGTTTGGACCTGGCAGCTTGAAAATCACACTGGACACATATGTGTGTGTGCCTCAAATACCAAGAAGAAAATAGAGGAGAAGGCACTGTGGCATGACCACCACCCCCCCCCAGGGGGTTGATTTACCACTTTCCTTCTTTCTGTCTCTGTGAGTGTGCCCTATGACCCCCCCAAAAAAAAAATCTTAAAAAGAAACCTTTTCAAGTAATTCCAACATAAAACCAGTATTGAGAATCACTGACTTTAATGGATTTTCTTGGTCTTTGAAAATCATTACCAAGATCCATTATTTTATTAGGGGGCTGCAAAATGGTGATATTTTACTTCTATTCTTCCTCACCCATTTATTAACTAGAACTCTTTTATAAAGAAAGATTTTTCCTTTGTCAACTCTGATTTACTCTGAATGTAGTTCAAACAGGACAAGCAGAGTAGATGCTTTATTCTTTCTCTTTATTTACCAGGATTCAAATATTGAATTAGTGCCCTAGTAACCTCTAAAGTGAACCAATAAGATGTGTTTTTTTTTGTACCATCATGAATGGATATATTTTAGTATATTGGATATTTCACCTGCCATCATTCTTTTTGATGCTCCAATGATTCAATCTGTGGCCTGTGGGAGCATCTTCAAGCCTGTGTCTTTTCATGTAACTCCAATAAGGGTTAGAAGCTTCCTTTCTTTTTTTGAGAGAGAGTTTTGCTGTTGGGCTTGTGTACACCCCAGAGAGATAGAGACAGAGAGAAAGCGAGAAATCATCCCCCAGGGAAATGGCCATGTTGCAGTCCCTTCTCCTCCATTCTCCTTTTAGGATTTTGAACCATTTTGCCATCTGCTGGTCCCAGTGTTAGAAGTTTTCTAAATTTCTGTAACTACTGCATATTCCAGGCTCATCTTGTACATTTTCTACCCCAGACTGGAAACAGTTATTTAAAAAACAAACAAACAAACGAACAAACAAACAAACAAAAAACCCCACCACCACCACCACCACAACAACAAAAACCCTCCTTATTTCTACAGGTAATGGTATTTGGACACCACAGTCTGGATGGTAAGAGGGCTCATTACTATGAGGTGGAACATCAGTTACAGACCTTACTGCCCACTAATTCTCTCTTGGCTATATTGAATCTGATCTTTTAATCAGTGCTTCTGCAGAGAGATGCTTATTTTGTAATTAACAGAAGCCAATAAATTCCTTTATAAGTTCAAAATTTTAATGTAACCCCTCTTTCTGTGTTGTTATTATTTATATATTTTCAACTGTCCTTTTTAAATTTTTAAAAATTTTTTTACATTCAATCATTGTGTATCATTGCAGTATACCAAGTGGGAATTTTCTCATTCTAAATACACTGTATCTTGGTTCGATCAAAGACATTACCATACATATTATTATATACAAATAATTTTCTATTTTTTGTGTCCCTTAAATGTTTTCCTTCTTTTTTTTCCTCCTTGATTCCCTCCCTTTTACTCTCTCTCATTTCATGCTCTCCTCCCATACTGTCTGTAGTAGCCACAGTTGCTCTTCATGCCTTTATACCTTCTAATCTTTCATCTTTTGCCGTAGAGTACAGACATTCAGTATATATTGATTGGGGAATACAATGCCTCTCTTTCATAGTCTGGCTTACATTGCTTAGCAATAAATCCTCTTCTAAAAGTCCCTTTTCTTCTGGTCTTAGGCCTGCTGAAGTTTGCTGATGATCTTGGCATGGGAGGGGCCAGAATACAGACCATCTCCCTTGGCCAAGGCCAAGGCCCTATTGCTGCCAAAATGATCAACAATGCCATAAAAGATGGGACTTGGGTAGTTTTACAGAACTGCCATCTAGCCACAAGCTGGATGCCTGCATTGGAAAAGATTTGTGAGGAGGTGATTGTTCCTGAGAGTACCAATGTAAAATTCAGGTGAGATGTCCCGCTATTGCCTGTCTCTAGGGCCCAACCTCCAATAATTATTCTGGGGGTGCAAAGATGAAGAAGACTTGGTACTATCTCTAAGAAGCTCTCAGTCTAGGAGAAAGCACCCACAGGTTAGTAATGTTGAAACTACGATGGTGTCTCTAATGACCTCCCATCCCCAAATTCAACTCTTGGAAATCTCTTTAATGTCTAGCATAAAACAAATCAGAACAAAAACTCAGGATGCCATGGTATTATGTAGTTTAATTTTGGGTAGGAAAAACAAATTAAGCCTGGCATGCAATATACCAAAATAAAATTATAATCAATAGATGATAAAATTATACATTTTATTTTCTTCTAGACAGACACTTCTAAATATGTTCCCACGTTTTGAGGGTATAGATACAAAATGAAAGAAAGAAATCCTCCATATTCTTTTTTTGGAGAGGTTTTCACTGTAGGGCGCGTGTGCTCGCCAGATAGCGAGAGAGACAGACAGAAAGCGAGAAATCACCCCCCAGGGAGGATGGCCATGCTGCAGTCCCTTCTCCTCCATTCTCCTCCCAGGATCCTGGGCATGCACACACACACGCCCGGCGAGTTTTAAGCCACCGGGTCCAGACCGCGAACCCTGGTCAACTACGTGGGAGTCCAGCGACATAGCCATTACGCTAACTGCTGGTCCTGAAATTCTCCATATTCTTTTTTTTTTTTTTAATTTAAATTTATTTATTTACATTCATTCACTGTACATCATTACGACATGCAAAATGAGATTTTCCATCCAGATTACACTGTATATTGGTTCAATCAAGCACATCAGCATACATGTTATCATCAACAAATAATTTTCCATTTCTTATTTCCTAATGTTTTTCT